CGGTGGTCCTGGGGGCTGCAGCGCGGCCTCACCTCCCAGTACACCTGGCCCCTGTAACACTGGGAGTCTGCCGGGGCCCCAGGAAGGGTGGCCACAGGAGGAGCCCTGGTGGTGGTAGCGGAGGACGCATAGGGCTCCCGGCTGCCCCCACAGGGGAGGTCGGCACCCAGGGCGACAGGGCACGGAGGGGCTGGCCGGGAGGCCCAGGGTCAGTGGGATGCCCAGGCAAGTCACACCTGTACCTGTCGAGCACCTGTTGTATGCCGGGCCCCATGCAAAGCCCTCAACAAGCATTGCCTTCCTGAATACTCACAGCGAGCCTAGAGGTGGATGTGACCCCGACATTTCAGAGAAGGAACCAAGGCTCGGCGAAGTTAAAGAACTCACTCGGGGTTTGCACAGCTGCCAAAGGACCGCACAGGGGTTCTGTCACGAACCATAGCTGAACCAGATTTCTGTGGCCTCCTACCCAGGAGGGGTGCAGAAAGTGTTTGTCGAATAAATTAGTAATTAGATGGATGAATTGAACCTTGTTTGAGAATGAAAATCTCGAGTAGAGAGCCCGAGGGAGAAGATACTGAACCACAGGTTTTATTTTGAAAGCCAGAAGGACAAAGGCCGGACATCGGGGCGGACTGCCTGGCCTGGCATCAATGGGCAGTCTGCCTCTGTTGAAGCTTTTGCTCTGCAGGCTGGCGGTCAGTGGTCAGGCCCCAGGTGGCCCGCTCAGCAGCCCCTTCAGGGCCTTGGCCTGACATTGGACTGCCCTCTGGTGGGCAGACGGGGCAGTGCAGGGAAGCCACAGATCCTGAGACACCGCGCTCAGCCCCTGGTCAGCCCCTGGTCAGCGCCCCACCCTCCCTGGGCATCCACTTGCCCCTCCTCACCTGAACTCCGCAGCCCCACCTGCACCTGGCACAAAGCAGGTGCTCAGTAAATGTCTGTGTGAATGAGTGTCGAGCATGGCATCCAATGGCCCTTCCTCCAGAGAGCACCTTCCTCTGTCTTCGGCCCTCCCTGGCGCCCCTGCCAGCCCCCTACCCCCAGCCAAGGTCTCTCACCTCCAAGGCCCCTGCCCACAGAGGCAAATGTCAGTGTGACACACAGCCGGAAGAGCTGGTGCACGGCCTGAGACGTGGCAGTGCGTGGTGGGGACACGGGGCGGTGCACAGGGCCGTGGCCAACGGGCCTGGGGAGCCCGTCAGGCGGACTCCCGTCTCCGGGCCTTTGCTCCAATCAGGCCTGCCCCTGGTGCTCCTAGGGAAAGGGCTCCGGGCCCCACCCCAAGCCAGCCCTCGCCCATCCCCACCCAGACGCACGCCCAGGAGACCGAGGAGCACCGGCTCGTTGGCGCAGAACAGTGCCACCTCCAGCAGGGCCATGAGCAGCAGCCGGGCCGGCCCGGTCTCGCCCAGGACAGCACCGAGGAGACGAGCGGAGCCCCAGCACTGAAGTCAGCGTTGGTCCTGCTGGAAGTCGGGACGGGAGGGTGAGAGGGGGCTGCAGACTTGGGGAGCCCTGGGAGGTGTGGGGGCTGGGGAAGGAGCCTCCCACGAGTCAAAGCCCTTCCCTGGTGGCTGGGGAAGGGGGGTCACCTCGCCTTTTTGTAGACGAGGAAACCCGTCTCAGAGAGGTTCTGGGACTCAGGAACAAAGCCTGCGACAGGTGAAAGAACCAGATCTTGACCCAGGAGCCCCTCGGAACCCTCCCTTACATGAAGCCATGCGCCCTCCCCAGCAGCTCTCGCGGAATAAGGGCCTAAGAAAGCGGGTGTGGCCGAGCGTGTGGGTCCAGGTCAGGAGGAGAAACCAGGCAGGCAGAGCAGGCAGGGCACCCAGGAGCAACCAGCCGAGGGCCAGGAGCCTGCCAGGAGTGAGGAGGCCAGCACTGCCCACCTCTCCACGCCCACATGGATGTGGCCGCTGAGAAGGGAGTGCAGGAGGCCTGGACGAGCGTGGAACACTGAACGGCCAGGAGGAAGGTGCGACCCACGAGTACCAGAAGCCTGCGGCATGAGGGACGCCGTGGCCACCGCTGGGAGCCAGGCTTCGGAGGTAGAGCCGTGGACCCGTTTCCAGGAGCCCCTGTCCGGTCGGGAGACAAGCTGCTAGGAGGGAATTTAGTTGCCATTGAGGTAAATGGTGGCCCCGGGAAGCACCGAGGCTGGCGGCCTGCGGGGAGGCTGCGGGCCCCACAGGAGTGGGGATGAGGGAGGCCGCGGAGATGGAGAATGTCTTCCTGTGAAGTAATGTCACAGGCGGTCTAGAAGGGCGACCAGAAATTGGGCAGGAGAAGAAGAGGGCCCTTTCAAGGAGGGGACCAGCAGGGACAGAAGCGTGGCTGGGCCAGCGTCCAGCAAGTCCAGGAACTGGGCTAGGGGTGCGCGTGGCCTCTACCCACTGGGGGGCTCTGGACAGGTGGAGGGCCTGGCACAACCAGTGGCACCTGCAGGCCACACGGGGCTTCAGAGAAGAAAGGCAGAAGGCCAGTCGCTGCTCTGCTGTCCCCTCCCAGTCTGAGGGGGCTGATGTGTGGGAGGGGCTTGTGGCTGTTTGCAAAGATGTCCCAGACCCCTGCCCCAAGGAAGACTTGCCATTCCCAGGAGGTGTGGCCCAGGGGCCAGCCACTCCCCAGAGCAGATGTGGAGCGGGGCTCCCCCTGGGAGTGGACTCGCCCCTTCTCAGGAATGGGCAGGGACAGCTGCCAGCCGTATGGGAGGATCTTGATATTTTAACAACTAGTGGGTACCAGCTGGTATTCCCCCCAGCCCGGCAGAGAGCAAGACCCAGACAGTCCTCCACTTCTGAGGGCCCCTGGCCCACCCTCCGCCGCTGAGGGCTTTGGTGGCGGGCCTCCACCTGCGAGGGCTCCCCGGGCCCACCACCCATACAGAGTAGCTCAGTCCATGGTTTTCTTTTGAGTCACCAAGTGATGACAGGCCCTAGGCCCCCGTCCTGCCTCTCCTGGCCCTGGGAGCTCTCATGGAATTGGGGACCTCACCTCTCACCCAGACCTCCACCCAGACTTCCTCTCAGGCTCTGCCACCAGCTCCCATGCTGCCAGGTCTGGCATCCGTCCAGTCTTTGACCCTCCCGCTCGTTTCCAGCTGTGTCCTGCTGGGTGTCTGAGGGTGGCCAAGAGGAACCATGTCTGCTGCCTGCCCTAGCCCAGCCTGGCCGGGTGGTCCATGGGGGCCAGGGCTTGTGTTACTGAGTAATTCGGGTTTGCTTGGGGATACTCTTTGTCAGGGTCACCTCCTCCCGACTCCTCACTCATTCTTTTGGCTCAAGAACCCCCAAAGCCACTCAGCTTTAATCCCACTGAGCTCTCTCTCCAGTGTCTCAGGGAACAGAGGGCAAAAGTCACCGAGCACCAGTCATTAGGACACGCGTGGTCCATTCATTCATTCATTCATTCATCCATCCATCTATCCATTCTGCATTTCTCCTGGGTGACCCTGGGCAAGTACCTGTGCCCTCGGAGTCTGTCCCCTTCTCCAGAGGAGTAATAACGCCCCCTCTGTGGGACTCCTATGAGTATTCCAAACAACTGACGTAGAGGCTGGCGCCTCCCCGTGATTATCGCTGTTCTGATTGGCTGAACAGACAGGACGAGTGGGCCGCCGACTGGCACATACTACGGGCGCACGCCTCTGAGGACAAGGGCAGACGGGGGCGGGGGGCGCAGTCTCAGCACGTCCTCCTGTTATCGGTGGGAGGGGGTGAGCAGCGGGGGCCAGAGGCTTAGGATGAGCACGCCCAAGAAGGGGCATAGACCCTTGAAGGGGCAGCAGCCCAGGGACACGCCCAAGAAGGGGCATAGACCCAAGAAGGGGCAGCAGCCCCAGGGACATAGACCCTTGAATGGCGATTTGGGAAAGGCAGAGCCTTCCTTCAGTCAACATGTATGTATTGAGCACCTACTGTGTGTCGGCACTGTGCAGGGTACTGGGAACATGGTGGAACAGGCTAAAGCGGTAAAGCCGCAGCTCTGGGGCGGTGCTCCCTCTGGGGGAGTGTAAGCGAACAGACAGGCGAGCACACTGCAGAGGGCTGTAATGAGGGAGACGGGTCCTGCGGGGCCTTAACCCACGCTGCAGCTGCGGTGGTCAGGGAAGGCTTCTCGGAGGAAGTGACGCGTACACTGCGACCTGGCCTAATTTCACGGCTGAGGCAGAGGAGGGGGAGTCTTTTTTGTCTTACACTCTGGTGTGAAAATACAAAAAGGCCGTATTAGGGAACTGCCCATTTTCTGGGTGGGTGGACAAACCCCAGACCTCCATTTCTCCTGAAGACCACCGCCACTGCAGCGCCGTGCAAAATACTGCTGTTACTTACATACGTGGCCTGGGAAAATTAAGTATGGCTTTTTCTCTCCAGGGGCTCATCACATTAGCCTCCACGTGAAAGAATGTCGCGTCAGATCACTTATGTAAAATAAAAATGACAGTACGCTGAAAAAAAGTTTGTCAGGAGGCAATGATCTCCAACCAAAA